TCAGAGGAAGGAGGAGGGTCAGGAGCAGAAACAGCCAATAATAATGTGTTTGGTAAGAGTCGTAGCAGAATTAACAGAGCAACGTCCTAGTAACTGAAGAAAAATTTAATATTTCCTAGAGGGCTTCCCAGAAGAGGTGACTCTAACTGGGTATGAAGGATCAGTATGAGATGGCCAAGAAAGAAGGAGCATTGCACGCAGAGAGAAGGGCATCTGCAAAGGTGGGGAGAAGGGGAGAGCAAGAAGCATGTGGCAGCTTCAGGAAGGGTCTGTGGTCCCAGGGGATGGATCACAGGGTGGAGGAATGATGGGACATGAGGTGGGGAAGGCTGACTAAAGCAGGTTATAAGGACTTGAAGGCCAGGCTAAGGAACCTGATGCTTTGCTGAACTTGAACATGTCTTCTGAAGTCCACTGAGGATCACTAATGACGAGGATGTGGACATGGTAGGACCAAGTGGGGGCATATTTGGGAACCTCTGTTCACCCCATGTTGGACCCTTAACTTGTTCCTTTTGCTCATGCTACAAATGGGTATAGCAACTGGGGAAGAACAGGGAGACGCCAGATCACCTCTCTCACCCTTGTGTGCCCAGCTCTCACATACACAATCCCAACAAGACTCAGAGGAATAAAGTGACTGGTTCAAGGTCACCCAGCTGGTATGGGACAGAGCTGGGAAAACACAAGACGCCTGACTCCAAGTCTCTGATCCTTCCACAGGCACTAGTTTCCTTGACAGATTCTCACTCTGCCAAGAAGGAAGTTACAGGTGGGTTACATGTTGAGAGGGACACATGAACAAGGACTCACAGGTCCCTTGAACATCTTGTCCAAACCCCACACATGGGGAGTGACTTACCAAGGTCACACAGAGTTAAAGATCTTGCCAGAAATAAAGAACATTATGCAGATTCACCTTCTGAGCCTTTGGCTCTACTGTTTACCTGCTGTGTGACTTTGGACAAGTGATTTGCCCTCTCTGTGCCCCTGTTTTCTCATCCACAAAGTGCACACACTCAGAACACGTATTCCTTAGGTTGTTGTGAGGATAAAATGCATTAACAACAACTGACACTTACTGAGTGCTTCCTGTGTTCACACAAGCACTGCACATGAATTAACTCATTTAATCCCACAAAAGCCCAACAAGGTAGCCCTGCATTTATATATATATATATATATATATATTTTTTTTTTTTTTTAATTTATAGGTGAAGAAACTGAGGCACAATGAGGTTAAGTAACTTGCCTAAGATCAAACAACTAATAAGTGGAGATGCTGAGATTTAAACCTCAGTGCTCTGGTCCCCAGAACCTACCCCATCAGCAGCACACATAGTAAGCCCTGAACACATGTTTTGGGTGTATCCAGAAGTCACGGTCTGCACTGGGAAAGCTTGTTCCTCTACTTGCCACTGCATTCCACTGCCTGGGGGCGTCCTCAAGCCTCCCCATGATTTCTGCTGGTTCTGGGGTGGGGTGTGGAGGGAAAGGTTGTATTACCTGCATTCACACTTGCTGTCTCCACTGGGTGCTGAGCCAGCCCGAAGTGAAATCCACTGTGTTGCACAAGGTATCCACTCATGCCTAGCATATCATGGATTTTTCTGATGATTTGGGGTCACAGAAAAGGGTCTTGTTGTGGGGTACACAACCTTTGGCCATCTGTCTCGTTGGTTCCTGCCAGGTTCCCCAAGAGTTCCAAATCCTCTCCCTGTGTTAGGCAGAGAATATGGCCACCCCAGCTCCAGGCTCCAAATGGGCACGTCCACCTCTATTGAGGAGCTCAGTGAACAAACAGCCTTCCATTTACTACATCTGCCCTCCTTACAAGGCATCTAGGAAAATGAAAAGAGAAAGATTCCTCTTTTATTATCATCATCACCATCACTGTCGTTATCATAGGATGAAAGAGTATTCAGGGTCTTGAGCAAGAATTATGTGTAATTGGCCAAGAATTTCAGAATGAGGGATATTAATGACGACAATGATGGTAATGACAATGATGGCAGCACATTTACATTGCACTTGCCCTGTGCCAGGCACTGTTCTAAGCACTGTACGTAAGTAATACTGATATAGGCAAAACTCATGGAGAGTGAGCTCTGTGTCTACCGTGCTTAGCACTTTACAAAACTTGTCTTGTTTAACTTTAAGCTGGTAATTTTATTAGCCCTACGAGACAAGGAACCCAATGCTCACTGATGAGGAGGGCCTTGCTCAAGGGCCCATGACCATTTTACACACACACACACACACACACACACACACACACACACACACACACACACACACATTTTACACACACACACACACACACACCAATGGCTCTGCACAGGACCTAGATGACTTGGATTCTGAGTGGAGTTTCTGAGAGGGTAGGCAGTGTGAGGAGGAGAGAGAAGCAGGTTGGTGAGAAGGAGAGCCCCTCCAGATGTATAGCAGAGCTGGGGAGCAAGGTGGAGGCAGGGCTTAGGTGGCTGGCTACCGTCCACACCTGGGTCTGTGTCCCTGGTGCATACCAATGTGTGTGTGTGCCCACACATGGCTATGGACA